AGGGAACGATTTAATATTATCTGACATTAGTAATTTTATTTAGGATATTTCAGCGATTCTGTCAAAACACCAACTCTTTCTGAATGATGCGAAGTTATTTCAAGAAAGATCACTGTGTTACTCGATAATAATCAATGGAAGTAGACATCAAACTTGGGTCACAACTATTTTGTCAGTCTTCCACCAATCAATTACCAAGCAAAGTCTACCAAGAACATAAGAAATGCGCTTTTGTACTCCGAAAAAAATATGTTTACGAAGAATGTTCTCATAAGCGACTACTTATGTTGATTAAATAAAACGACTATGATTTTCATTTACAATTTATTTACCCAATTATAACCATGATTATTTCTTTCTCAAGCTGTATTATTTTTTTCCCAACCTTTACCGTGAAATTCTTACAAGTAAGGCATATAAAACATTCTCACTACAAAAATTATTTGACACAGGTATTAACGTTTTGCTCTAATGATTCACATCAAAATACTTTATTAAATAAATCACAATGAAAGATATTTAATGTGTAATAATAATTACTTTCTGCGATATTTATTTTTGGTCGCAAAAAATTTATGATTGGAATATATATATATATATATATATATATATATATATATATATATATATATATATATGAATTTACTAGATTCGCTCTGCACTTCCCTCAGTGTAATTCATTACAAAGTTTGCATAAAACAATAAATAACTTGGCTTCTAAATTCGCATATAAGTATATAATTATTACCTGTAATTTCCTACCAAACTATCCTCCAAAAATTACTTAAATAAACGAAAATGAAAACTCATACCATTTTATATTTTTACAAGAGAACAAAAACTCATTAATAAATATAAAATTAAGACTTGGAAATTGATAAAGCCAACAAGTAGAATTAAAATAGTAGAATATTATTTCTCTCTTTAAACGAAACAAAAAAATGAATAAATTACTCGGACAGATTTATAATTACGTTACAACGAACTGGAGATATGACTTCAAACATATTGGACAATAACAATTTAATAAAATATCATGTAATTTGAGAATAAGTTTATTATTACTGATTTAAGTGACTTCAATCCTTTTAAAAGCTATAAACAGCAGTATATTTTAAAATTAAGTATGATAATAGGACAAACAAACTTCACAAGTTAAATAATATTATTATTAATAAATGCACAATTATTTGTTTTATATACTTTTCTATATAGTAATTGTTTTTAACGTTTTTGTTGACTTCTCAATTGCTCATCCCTCAAATAACGTTTGGTGTTGCTTTGATTGTTTAGACAGTGAATTACAACTTGAAATTGATGAGCACAAAATAACCATAACCTAAAGTATAGTTTATTCTAATAATCACTCATTTAGGAGATTTGTCGACAAGTAAATGAATGAGATTTCATATGCAATTGTCATATGATTGAATAAAAATGATTTAACCAAGCGATCATTATTCTAGATACAAGTCACGTTATCACATTTATGAATGAACAAGAGTTCATAAGATTTCTAATAATAATAATAATGACAAGAGCAATAAAAATAGAGATAATGCATACATAAACATTAATCCAGTTTACTTACCAGATACATATTCGTGTACCTGGTTTTAAGCCACACTCTAAGTTTGATAGCTAGTGAAATTACCCAGTTGTGCAAAACGGAATGGATGAAGAAAGGGTAGCACCCGTGTCTTAGCTGTTGAAAGTTGAATGACTTAAACACTCAACCAACTCTTTAGTCTAATTGCTTTCCAGTCGATAACTGATTCTTACCAAGAATATATTTATTGTGAACCATCAGTTCTCTGATCTCCAACTTATTAAGAATGATAAATATATATCTTTAACCTTGCCGTTAATAAACATAGTAACCTATTATTAATTTATATCTCGTATTAAATATTTCGACCAATATATGTATGTGAAGAAATCCATTTTTATTTTTCACACAAAGATCTCAGTGTTTTTAAACTTTATTCATTCATATACATCCAATCAGGTCAATCGATCCCAGAGATCAAAAAGAAAAATTAATCTTCACGGTATCACTAGTATGTCTATTCATATTAACTTTAAACCCAATTTATCATTAGATAATACAATCAACGCATGTATAAATTTGCCGTGCTAAAAGTTGGTGTTGCTTTTCAATTTATCAGTTGTTTAGTCAGGATATACATGGAATAAGTGGTTTATTATATTTACTTATTTATCACTCTTTAATTAGATGTAAAACGGTTGTCAAAATGTAGTCAGCCTTGTAAAGTATTTAACCACACATCCACATACTAACGTATGCGTAAGCAGGCATATATATATATATATATATATATATATATATATATATATATATATATATACGCTAAACGATGTGCACTAATTTACGTACAAATATTTCCAGAAATAAATCTACTGAATTATTTGTAATAGATCGAAAGGTTAGCAGTACTAACTAAGTGTATCCATATCTTATTTATCTGGATATGTTGATAGCAATCGAAAAAATATCGAAGTACAAATCCTCCGCTCGAATAAATTAGCATTCGTCAAATAAATATCACCAGATTGGCGGTTTTTGTGGAGATTGTAGTAATTTAATAGTTGAATTCATGAGTCGATTCAAGCTAGATCACCACTGAGAACCTGAAAGCACTGGATAGCCGTTTCGTCCTAGTATGGGACTCAGCGGTGTGTGCTCACTTGTGACCAGCTTGAACAGGTATTTCCTAGAGTCCTAGTGAGAAGCGGTGACCAATAAAGTTCAACCGTGTCTGTGGTGAGACAGTTACTCGCTGAAAATGGTGGACGGTGGCGAAATATCGTGGATTGGTTGAAGTTAGGCATTCACACCATTAGATGCCAACGTAGAAGTCTAGGGGTTAAGTGTTTGAGAACGAGGCCGAAATTCCTGAGTTCGAATCCCGCAAGCGGGATCGTGGATGCGCACTGATAAGTCCCATACTAGGACGAAACGGCCGTCTATTCCTCTCAGGTTTTCCATGGTGGTCTAGCTTTAATTAACTCATGAATTCAACCATTAAGTAAATGTCAGTTGCTAGATGAAAAGTATTGTGCATATATATATATATATATATATATATTACTACATCTGCTAGATATCAAAGCTGAAAGTCTTGCCCATTCAAATCAATACACTTGGATTGAGATACATATCGTGAATATATATATATATATATATATATATATATATATATATATATATATATAGTTTTTAAACCTTTATTTCTTTGGTTACAACAAAAGATAATATGAATATATTTTTGCACTAGAACAATCGAAATTGTAGTCTACAAATTGAGAATTTATAAGTTCAACACACCTTATACACATTTTACTCGATAGTTTATAGTGATAGTTCTTTTTGATATAAAGGAATTTTCATGGTTTGATATATTCACGATATGTATCTCAATCCAAGTGTATTGATTTGAATGGGCAAGACTTTCAGCTTTGATATCTAGCAGATGTAGTAAACATGGATAACAAAAAGCACCTAGATACAGGGAAACGATAGTGACAATATATACCAGTCAGTCAGTAACGACGTGGGACTTCGTACGTACGTACATCAGTTCGAGTTGCCATACCACATTAGCACATAGATTCAGTTATCGATTCAAATCTCGTAGTGGTAGAGGTAACAATATATACCAAACTTTTTATTACTATTAAACGCTTCCTAGAGTCATAAGAAAAGATCTGCCGAAATGGATTGTCTTTTATGATGACTCAACTTTCGAAAATTCTTGAATAAAATTTAATTAGAGTTTGAATGAATAACTGTAAGAATTCTTTAATAATGTGAAAAAACACTTCGTTGGAATTATCCAATTTATTACATTGTTAGACATCCGAGATTAAATAACATATTTATCGAGAATTTCTAAATTTATTTCTTCAAACTTTCGAAGGCCATTGTGGAACTTCATTAAATGTATAAATTTATTTGAAGTAAAGCATATTTCTTTTACCTAGTTGGATTAAAATCCTCAATAATTCCATATTTTAGCATATCATGTTAATAAAACGGAAACTACACTTGGAAAAAGCGAATTTTGAATTATGTGGAGATAATATGTCAGTATGCATGATGCACCTTTTCGTGTCTCTTTTATACTAATTCTTCGTGTCTAAGTAAATAGAAGTTTATTTTTGAAAAATAAGAGGATACAAAATTTACAACTCCTATTTAATATCAGTAAAATTATTATACTTCGGTTTACACACCAAAACATTTTAAACCATGTTGCTACTCAAGGTAATTCATGTCATTTCAATTCATATAAGTAGTTCATGTTTAAGGTAAGCTGAAATACAATCAAGTCCGTCTCTATTTGTCTTTACCATAAATCCAACCAAATGAATCCTTACAAATCTCTTGAGTTTTTTCATCTGCATTTATTTATTTCGGCCATAAAACACCAATATGGGTGTGTATAGTAGAAGGGTACTAGGTCTGTGTATACTATGCATCATATACCTACATAAAAACTTAGGAACATAAAAAAAGAGAACTGTGATCTTTTGAGTTTCATATGTCACTTGACAGATGGAAATCAAGAAACAACATAAAAACAATTGACTGACACTCGTCACCAACTCATTCTTTTTAACGTGGTTACACATAAAGGATTTCAGTGAATATAGAAAACTGTAATGAGAATAATGTAAAAGGTTTTAAACACAAACGAGATCACTTTAGGTTCATTTTTTTAGAAACACTAGATAACTACATATAAACTTTTTGAGTTAGTTAACAAATATCAATACGTGAAAGGTGCACCTGTCAAGATACAAATGCACTTCACAATAAAATCCTTTGATATTTTATGCACTTATCTGAATGATATATCAGTTAACAGTTGCACAGACAACAATAAGTAGGCATAACTTCACAACACAGAGCAAGCCAAATCAAATCACAGTTTGGATGATAACTACATGATTGAAATTATTTCCGTTTAAATTACTTTCGTTGTCGTGTAGAGGAATGAAACATTCACTAGTTGACAACTGTAATAAATTTAGAGTGATCTTCGAATCGTCGTAACACTTGTTCTTTTCGCTTAAATGTTATTAAAAATAATCGATTACACATTGGAAACGAACGAACAAACCTGTCAGAGGTTGTGGTTATTACGGGAATTGTTTGTTTTGAATCACTGACAGTTATCGTAACATCATACTGTGGAATGCCAGTGGAAGCGGAAAATATACTCGTGTCTAAAATTTCATTGATAAAATAACCGCTTTAAACATGGGGTCGCATACTTTATGGGAGAACTATTTAAATTATTGATATTATCATAAAACTAACTATTTCTAGCTGCTTATGCAAAAGACTAGATCATAGATAGTGATTTGTTAACACCCAAGACTTGAAAACATTTTAAGTTGATGAGTTGTCAGCTAAGTGTACTTATAGCACAACTTCTTACTGTCCTAGTCAATACTCAAACAGAGAATCTGTCCTTTTATGCATTAATATTATCTTCAAGACTGCCCATTTACCATAACCGTTAGATATCTGTATAGCATACGTTTAACTAGCACACAGACCAGTAGGGACAGGTAAATCTTATTTGTGAATTAACAAGTGGGAAATAAAAGCCTTTGAGAAATTAGGAGAGCCATCTTAGATTCATACGAGCTTACAACATATAAATAAACGTTTCATGTGCGACAACTGTAAGTTAGTTGTTGTTCAATTGTAATACTGGCCAGTAATAAAGCAAGAAAAACAATATTTACAGTCCTTATACTTTGAGTGCTTTATATTCCTAAAGTGAGTTGTGGTTTCGTAAATAATCAGTCCGTGACGACACAAAATCTAGAGTTGTTTTGCTTCCCATAGCCCGAAACGAAAGCTCTTATTCTAATACTTCCAAAGATATGCTTTACGAAATTATCTGCAGAATATTTTATATTAGCTAGCTTGCTTCATTAGAGCTTTAATAGATACCCAAATTCTCTTTGAGCCACTTGGTAAATCTGTCATAGAATCTAAAATGAACTATAAAAAAATAATAAATCAAGAATCCATGAATACGGTTTTATTAGGCAATTGATAAAACATACAAATACTCTCAGAGCTCAATCATATTAGATTGCAGAAACATTGCTGTTAGTTCATCACCACTATTTTTAGCAATATTATTTCTTTTTTACTGTGATTTCTAGAATAAATTCACCATTTTCAGATGTTATGATATTATTCTTACAGTTGCTTAGTATCCTCGGTATGAGCACATTGATAAAGGCAAGAAAAACGTATAGCCCGGGTTACTTTCACTAACATATTACACTACCAGAACCTTTTTGTATATTAAGGATAAATACAACATCGTAGCATCACAGTGTCCAACTAAACTTTTATTCAAAATTACTTTTAATTACACTTTTATAGGTTTAGTCGAGGAAGACAACCCACTTCGGTGACATAAAACTAAACCAATATATACTGGAACGTCTATATATTCTTCCATGTGTAGATTTACCATGCAATGGACAACGGACTGAAACTTAAGACATCCAATTTCACATTATCCGAACCAAAATAAGTGTCATTGAATATAGTGAAGAAAGTAGAATGTAAAATTATCGCAGCTAGCATGGTGAAATTGATCAGCTGAGATGTATATTTCACAAAAGGTTAACCAAATAACAACTAATTACGCTTATGGCTGTCTTACGTATAAATATTGGTAGACAGAAATATTCAGCGTAATCTGACTTCTGACACTCTGATCAACCTAAGCTTCCTTCTTAAGTTGCCGCCTGTAAAATCTTTTAATGCTGTAAAAATGAGAAGTAAAGTGATGGACAACACCGAATATTTTGATGCTTATTTAACCTAATATAGTAACAAAAATTTTTGTATTTCGTTGGCTTACATGAACATATGAATAAAGATGTGTCCAAACATAACTAATGAAAAACAAGTATATCATTTAGAAACTGCGGTGTGAATATAAACGATGGATACAATCTTTATAGTCTAAAAGAACGGTCAGCTAAAGAACCAAGCGAAATCACGTTTCTCAAATATTTTAACCCTTCGAATTCACCAAATCGTTTATCCTCCAGACGAATATATGAAAATGATGAGAACTTAATGCTTGAAATTCTAAATAAACCAAGTTTCTTCACTTTACCTAATTCATAACCAAACGTAAGATTTCACAGTAAAATACTCAACTACGGTTGAAAACTTCACCCATGTGTAAGGATTCAGTTTATTAAAGAAGCACATGCCTTAGAATTTTTTTATTCTCGTCGATATACTGGATTATTAATTAAGTAAAGAAAACTAAGGAGTAACTTGCGTTCTTCAGGTTGACTTTTTGATTCCAGAAGAAGGTTGCGAAAATAATTCGCTGCGAACTCAACCAAATTAATCGGCTTTTCCGATATTGCCTTCTCCGTGAACTTCTCCAGTAGCTCAGTTAATCCTTCGGGAATCATCCCAATCAACGATGGAAACAAATTACCGCTTTAACGATAACTGAAACAGAATACGGCATGTCTAATTTAAACAACTATGTATATTTAACTAGTTTTGACGTCAAGAATGAAGACATAAAAGCCTGTCGTGTTCTCATGCGCTTTGATTTACAAATACATTTTTATGAAGAATGTGTTTGTTGAAGGTGAAGTCATTACTTCTGTTAGTTGAAATTGCCAGGTTTGATCACTGTTGAAAACCAATATTCACGGAAATAAAACTGATTTCAAATTTTAAAATTTCTCATACTCTTTCTGGTCTGTGTTTATTCTAAAGGGAGGAAGGAATCGGCATTAAAGTACTTCCTACATTGCTTATGACTGACCGTCTGGCCATTGACTGGAAACGAATAGTAGCAAGTAATGATCTCCAGGATTCACCATACAATACTTACCCAGTTACTATCTCTAAAGACCTGTAACAAGGTCCTTTGTCAATATTATGGTCTTTTTCCCCTACATTAATGGGAGTGGCCCCCTCTTCATTATCACATCGTGTTTAGTACTCAAGTTAAGAATACACGCCTCATTCTCCACAACTTGTTGCAATATTTTAGCATTGTTCGTGTTAACAATACCTGAAATTTGTTAGCATGGAACCTATTCTTCGGTTTCATCTACGTCACTGTGGAAAACATCTATTAGGTTCTCTTTGTCTAAGACAGCTTTTATTCCACTTGGAGTTAGGAAGATCAGTGATATTGTAGATCCATTGTGAAATTGTTCTGGGTAGACTTTTCCATGAATCGAAAAGATTTGTTTCTGAACTACTTGAAGGACTTTTAGTCGTTAATACCGTGACCGCTGTCAAGAAAAATTTTTTTTATTATGGACACCTCGGATATCATTACACGATATAGCGACATGAACTGGGAGAGAATAACGAGAATTCTGAGCGATCAGTAAGCTCATGTAGTTTTTTTGTGCCTATTGGTAACCTTCGTGTTATTAATAGAAGAAACGAGGCTAGTAGGGAATAGGTCTTTATTTTGGTCTTCGCTCAGTCACAATGGAGCATAGGATTCCTTGATCAAACAAACAAAACCTCTCAACATTCAATATAAGATAATTATAAATATAATGCTTATACAAAATAAAGAAGTAAACGGATATTTGAGGTATGCTGTCTTGACAGATGCTTAGTTGCTTGAGATCAACTCTTGACCAATGGACCTAAGCTGTTACAGTTTCAACAAAATGGCTTTATGTGACAGTATTTTTTACAACGCAAGTGCGGATTAAGCCACATGAGTCTCATTAGAAAACAGTTCTAACAACCAGATTAATCACATCTACGTAAACCAAAAATCAAACAGAGAAGCTGGACCTAGCTAAAACTGAAGCTAAAGAGTTATTGTACCGTTGGACTAGCTTCATGGATGGTCGAATGTTCATTATCCCTCCAACCTCTATTAAAAATGTCTCAAAAGACCCGTCCGTCAAAACCTTCTGAAACAGTAGAGATTGTAGAATCCTTCATATTGACTTCATGATGCGTCCTCACACACAGCCTTGAAGACTAGCTCTAGGAACGTCATTCACAACCTCTTTGTAAAAGGGCGTTTACTATCTTATTCTTGTTCCGAATACACGAAACCTGTCTAAGACTGGCGAAGGCTCCTTCAAAGCTACCAGATGCACCCACACTTTTATTCACAACTCGTACAAAGGTGATTTTCTTAACACCATGTACGATACCACGGCGAATATGTGCTGTCTACTTCGTCAAGGTCTTAGTTACTGGTTTCTGTGTTACAGTGGCCTTTGACTTTTTCGGTGTCTTAACTTTCAGCTTGGTGATCCTCTTTTCCTTAGGCTTTCTTAGAGTTGGTTTGTGTTTATTAACAGATGGTGCTTCAGTTTTTGGCTTAGCATCCTTGAGCTTAGCTAATAAAAAAGAATAATAATATTGACAGGAGACAACATCATATACACTTCATAACTCCAAGTCAGAAGTCCTATCTTATAAAGCACTCCGTAGGAAGCTCTGCGTTCCATGCCAGATTTGGCAGACAAGTGTCGTACAAAATTAACTTGGTTAGTAAAACAACTGACGTTATAAAACCAACGGGGTCGAAAATAGAAGCTACATACGACAATATGGCTCTTCTTGTAGGAGTCACATCGAATTAGCACTCCATAAAGATCTTATCTGTTCAAACGTTCCACTCTATTCTTACAGTCCTTTCATTTATGTCCATAGATAAACAAACGTTCACGTTACTTTCTGGGAGCTCTTTCTCTGAATTTAGTGTTAATTGTCAATAAAATAAATGAAGATTTATCTAAAGACATTTGAAGATAAACATCCTTTAGGTCAACTTTCGAGAACATCTTATAAAATTTCCAGCCTCTACCGTCGTGCACGCTTGCTTCAAAAAACGGGAGTTCAGTGCTAATCTATAGTCACTACGTATTCTAGGGGTTTCGCCATCCGATTTCAATGGCGTAGCAACTGGAGTAAACCCATGCTGAAGACTGAATCGATTCAATGATACCTTTCGCACACAAATCGTTCAATGTCACGTGCTGCTTCTCGAAGACCATAAGTAATTATTCGTCCTTTAAGAAAGACTGGATCACCCTTTACTTATAGGCTGAATTTTCATGCCTCCACTGCACTTAGCACATGCAGCTATCAAATCTTTAAGCAACGCGCCAGAATTTTCTTTAGAAACGAGTAAAGACAACTTATGATAATTAGAAGTAATTGAATTATAGTATGAACTAATAATCCCAGGGATAACGCAATTGAATCAAGAAGTACTACACAAGCACCAACGAATGTACTGTATTTAGAATTCGAAATCAAACATTCAACAAGTACAAAGGAGTCATTAGTTCATTCAAACACCACATCCGCCACAGCTTAAATTAGAGTCTAAGTGTCTGTAATCAATTGTACTTCTTCTCCTCAAGTTCATGCTGTGTCTGTCCGACAATGTATTGGATAAAGACCCTGTATTATCTAGAATGCACTCATTAGTATTAGAATTAACAACTGAAATCGGAACAGACTCACCTGGTTGCTGCAATAGTATTTGATCAACATGTCGATTGTGTGTACTTAAGTCATTGATATCTAGAAGTCGCACCATAGATTTCCCGACATTCTTCAGAACGATCCCCGTGGATGGTCGAAGATCATTGCCACGATAATACGTAACTTCTGCAGACTCCAAACATCTCATATTCGACCGAAGAGTTCTTCCTTTTAATAGTTTTGATGGAGTCTCTTTCGTCACCGAATGTCTGGCATTTCTATATTGCAGTAGAAAGGTATCTACTCCCCTCTCCAGCTCATTAAATGTTGAGGCAGCAATAGAATCAATGGCAGTTTTTAACGTCCTGACAAAATTTTCTGCCTGACCATTGGAACAAGGATGTCTGGGAGCAGTAAACAGATGTTTGCACCCTATACCATTTAACCAGGTAGTGACTGCATCTGCAGCAAAATGAGAGCCGTTATCAGTCACTAACACCATTGGAACCCCTTCTCGACTAAACACCTTTCTTAATGCTTGAATTGTGAAGTCAGAATTTGGTGAAGTTGTGAAGAAAACTTCAGGCCACTTTGAAAAAGAATCAATAACTACAAGCGCATAGTATTTGCCAAGAAACGGACCACAATAGTCTGCATGAATTCTCTGCCAGGCCTCAGACGATACTGGCCATGGAGTCCACTTCGAATGCTGATTTTTCAGCTTATGACACTTCTCACGATTGTTTGCTGTACGACCAATATCTGCATTTATCTCTGGCCACCAACATGTGAGCCTCGCCAATGACTTCATTTTTTCAACACCTAAATGTCCACTATGAAGATCTTCTAGGACAGATTTGCGCAATGAAGGAGGAATAACAACACGATCATTTAAACACGAAATACCATCAGGAGTAGCAGATAGCTCATTCCGCTTTGAAAAATAGATAGGAAATCTACGTTTCAAATTAGCATTCCAACCTTTCCGTATAGCATTAATTATACATCCAAAGTATTTGCGAGTTTCTCTAATGAGATCTGGACGTTTCACTGGTAAAGGTTGCACTAACAAACAGTCTGAAGTATTTACAGGTTTATCTTGTAATGACTGTCGAGAAATGTAGTCAACATGTTGAATTTGTTTGGCACTCCTATGCTGAAATTAGGAATAAAACGGGAATAGTATTGAAGAGCACCCACTAGTGAACGTAGTTCCGTAAGGTTTTTTGGAGACGGTGCATTTGTCAGTGGAGCTAGTCGTTTCATATCTGGTCTAAAACCATTACCATCAACTAGGTATCCAAAACATTCGAAATTAGATACACAAAATGAACACTTATTTGGATTCACTGTAATATTCTTCTCAATTAAACGACGCAATAAAGCAATAAGTCTATGGTTATGAACTACCTTATCAGAACCATGGACAATGAGATCATCTTGATAAACTTCAACGCCCTCAAGATCACTAACTACATTATTCATGACTTCCTGAAATATAGCTGGAGAACAACTTAGACCAAATGGAAGGAAATTGTATTTGAACAGACCAAAAGGAGTATTAATTGTCGTCAAAAGAGATGAAGATTGATCTAAAGGGATTTGGAGATAAGCATCTTTTAGGTCAACTTTCGAGAACACTTTAGAACCATGAAGTCGATTTAGAATATCTTCAGTCTCTACCGTCGTGCACGTTTGCTTCAACAAACGGGAATTCAGTGTTGATCTATAATCACCACATATTCTAGGGGTTTTGCCATCCGACTTCAGTGGCGTAACAATAGGAGTACCCCATGCTGAGGACTGGATCGGTTCAATTATGCCTTTCGCACACAAATCGTTTAATGTTTTATGTACTGCATCTCGAAGACCATAAGGAATTATTCGTCTTTTAAGAAAGACTGGTTCACTCTGTACTTGAAGTTTTATAGGTTGAATCTTCATACATCCACTGCACTTAGCTCACGTGGCTATCAAATCTTTCAGTAAAGCATCATTGTTTTCTTTAGAAACTAGAAAAGACAGCTCCACTTTAAGCCTTTTCAAATTCCTTAGGCCCAGTATTGACAGTCCTGTTTCGCTAACTAAAAATTCACAAGGTATGTATGAAGAATTATCATCTCTTATTAGCAACTCACAACATCCTCGTATGGGCAGTCTGTGTCCAGTAATCTCCAAAATAGAGACTTCAGTGGGTCGTACCACAACATTAGGATCTATAGATTTCAAGTTCTTGAATGAAATAATGGACTCTATACTGCCTGTGTCAACAATAAAGTCATGACATGAACCAGGCGATGTATATAATCGCTTTTGAATGTGAGCATTACCTTTCGAAAAAGTAGACAAAGATAAATGATCATTAGGAACAGCTGAATCACTGGGATCTAATTAACAAGATTTAGTACTACTTGAGGCAAAATGAATAGTAGCTTTGCATACTGATTGAATGTGTCCTATCTTACCACATCTAAAACATTTAGCATTACGAAATGCACATGAATTACGAGAATGACTTTTTTCCACATGATAAACATTTGCCAAACTTGGTCTCACCTTTGTGAATTCCTTGTTGAGATATCTTTCAAATTTACACGAGAATAGGAACCACTGTTAAACGAATACAATTTTGATTGACCCTGAGATTGTATTTCATCATGACGACTAAGCAAAGTATTAGAAATATTCATCGACTGGATATCAAGTTCATTCACTGCCTCGTAGTTAATACATGCAGTCCTAGCATCTTGAAAGGAACAGTTCGGCATTCTTAACAGCTCTCTTTCCAAACCCGGCAAGTTAATTCCTGCAATTAATCGATCTCTCTGTTGCATATGAAGTTGATCACCAAAATTACATTTGGCAGCTTGTTTCTGCAATTCAAGAATGAATTCCTTAACCTTTTGGTCATTTCGACGAGTCATCTTATGAAATTTAGCCCTTTCACGGCATTCGAAACTAATGCACTTTACATGGTTTAATAATAACTCCTTAATAGTTGCATAAGGAAGTGAGATAGGTTTTTCTGGATATGCCAAAGTTTTCAATAAGCTGTATGCTTCTTTTCCGATGAATGTCAGGAAATGTGCCACAATTTTATCACCTTTAACATCCTTCTTGGTCATGCTCCAAATTTCAAACCTTTCCAAATAATCCATAAAAGCTTCAGAAGTTGAATGAATATCTAACTGTTCCATCGCAGGCCCCATCGCGACACCAATATGATAATTAGAAGTAATTGAATTATAGTATGAACTAATAATCCCAGGGATAACGCAATTGAATCAAGAAGTACTACACAAGCACCAACGAATGTACTGTATTTAGAATTCGAAATCAAACATTCAACAAGTACAAAGGAGTCATTAGTTCATTCAAACACCACACAACTCCACTCTAAATCTTTCCAAGTTCTTTAAATCCAGTATTGACAGTCCTGTTTCGCTAGCTAAAAATTTACAATGTATGTATGAAGAATTGTCATCTCTTATTAGCAATTCGCAACATCCTCGTATGGGCAGTCTGTGTCCAGTAATCTCCAAAATAGAGACTTCAGTGGGTCGTACCACAACATTAGGATCTATAGATTTCAAGTTCTTGAATGAAATAATGGACTCTATACTGCCTGTGTCAACAATAAAGTCATGACATGAACCAGGCGATGTATATAATCGCTTTTGAATATGAGCATTACCTTTCGAAAAAGTAGACAAAGATAAATGATCATTAGGAACAGCCGAATTATTGAGATATCAATTGCAAGATTTAGTACTATTTGAAGCAAAATGAACAGTAGTTTTGTATACCGATGAATGTGTTCTATCTTACCATATCTTAAACATTAAACCTTACAAAATGCACATGAATTACGAGAATGAAATTCGCCACAGAATAAACAATTGCCAAACTTGATCTCAGCTTTGTGATTTACTTGTCATTCCTTGTTGAAACACCCTTCATATTTACACGAGAATAGGAATCACTATCAAACGAACTGAAGTTTGATCGAATCCGAGATTGTATTTCATCATGACGACTAGGTGAATATTAGAAATTTTCAACGACTGGATATCAAGTTCATTCACTGCCTCGTAGTTAATACATGCAGTCCTAGCATCTTGAGAGGAACAGTTCGGCATTTTTAAGAGCTCTCTTTCCAGACCCGGTATGTTAATTCCTGCAGTTAATCAATCTCTCTGTTGCACATGAAACTGATCTACGAAATTACATTTTCCAGCTTGTTCCTGCAGTTCAAGGATGAATTGCCTAACATTTTGGTCATTCTGACGAATCATTTTATGAAATTTTGCACTTTCACGGCATTCAAAACTAGTGCACTTTATATGATTTAATAATAGTTCTTTAAGAGTTACATAAGGAAGTGAGATAGGCTTTTCTGGATATGACATTGTTTTTAATAAGCTGTATGCTTCTTTTCCGATGAATGTTAGGAAATGTGCCATCATTTTATCACCCTTAACATCCTTGTTGGTCATGCACTAGATTTCAAACCTTTTCAAATAATTCTCAAAGGCTTCAGAAGTTGAATGAATATCTAACTGTTCCATCGCAGATTCCATCGCGATGCCAATATGATAATTTGGAATATTTGAATTATGGTACAAACTCGGAATCTCAGAAATAACGCATTAGGATCAAGAAGTACTAGATCAGCACGAAACTACAGACACAGCATCAAATAGCAGATTGTTGGTACACCTTCTACTACTTAAGAGTAGTCAAACGCTAGAATTCGCTGCTATCTGAGTCAGTCCAAGCAACTTCCCAGAAGTCTTTTAAGAGAAAATTTGGCATATTCTCAAAGATCAAACACATTATTTTTCTACAAATCACCAATATTTTTTTCTTTTATCGTTAAACATTCCTAGGTTCTTACCTGGGTCCGAAACATTTTGAAACCGTTTCATTTGTTTTACCCTTCAGCTCATAGTGAAAGTATGATTCAGGTCTTTCGGCAACCAACGTTTAATTTTAATTGATCGTAAGGAGATTCCCAGGGATAAACAGTTCCTTAAAGTTGAAGTAAAATCTGGCGAGCTTTCAAATAGTCCCGTTACCGTCCTACAGTTCCAAAATGCCAGTGAGGTTGATTGGTTACAACAATTGGGGTATTTGACATAAGGAGGTTGTACTTACAAACCAAACATAAACGTGCAAACGGTTTGGTGTTATCCTGTTTTCAATAACAATTTATGGAAATGGCTGATCAGTCTCCACGTTAGATTCTAACAAAGCAATATATATTTTTTGTAGTTATATCTAGTTTATTGTCAACTCCTATGAGTTCAAGTCTTGGATGTGCACGCTTAGAGCTAGTGAGTTAATTTATTATGTTTGAATGGTGTAATGTCGAACTATCCCAATCTCATTATTTCGAGGAAAAATGTCCGTTCTGGGGAAGCAGTTCTAGAAAAGTTTAGGGAAATGGCACAAGAACCTCAAAGTTCGCCCATGTCTGGAAAAAATCCAAGCTTTGAGGCGAACTGCTCACTGTCATTGAACTTTGTGTGTAACACCGAAATCGTGTGATTGGGATCTGCATTTTAAGATATATATTCTAACCTTTGATTGTTATTTTGAAAACGTAGAATAATTCAACTGATTTTTCAACGTCTCGTTAAAATTTTTCATCCTATAAGGAAAAATTTCTATTTTACAATCAAAACTAGTGGTCTAGACGGCGAATTTGGTGATTATTTATATATTTGAATGAGAATTGTACATGATTAATTAAAATTTACATTTGACCGTTAGGGTTAGGAATTAGATTCGACGTTTTCATCATGAACTGACATGAACTGTAATGCCAAAATGATATCTAACCAAATGATTGAATGCATGAAAGACTTGTTATCTTAGATATTCTTGGTTCGTCCATAAATTATAGTCTCGCCAGAATTCCCTTCTTGTGGCGGGGGTGTTGTTTACGAAGATGGTAGAACGAAAAACGATTGTCCGGCGCTTTAGCCGGATCTCAAACCAATGGTGCACATGGGCTCCAGTATCCCGAGGGAACAAATGACGTATGAACCAATCGTTGGTCACCGGCTACCATGGGACTGCATCTCCTTACGATGCTCCACTGCCTTGTGGGTTAGACCTTTAGGTCAAAGGCTCGGGGTGTGACCCCCTAGGAAAACCACCTGTATCTGTTTGGGCACCCGGGCAGTATCACAGCCCTCACACATATCAAATGGGGTCTGTGTAGCGCATATGTATTTGATACCTCTCCGTAGTACTTTCGTAATCTTTTTGCTACTAACGATTCAGTCAAAAGTAAACTTTTATGTTCATGAATTTCAGGTCAATATTAAAGTTATTCTGACAAATTAAAGGTTATGATTAACAAGTATTAACCATTCGTGTGCATTTTTCCTTCCAAGAGATGGTCGCTGTATTTTATTATTTCGTATCAATTGTTTGTGACAAACGTGATACTAGTTATTGGAAATAACTCACGCAAAGTGGGATTAGTTAAAAATATGATGTCTAGTTGTCAATTATTAACCCTTAGTTTGAGCTACAAAGACTAGATGACAAAGTTCAGGACCGTTGAATGTTTAGTACAGATTCACCAAATGATTTCAAATGAATAACTGGTTTTTACAATTGTCAGAAACATAAATTCACCCTCTGTGATAAAAATATTTTAATGATGCTTAATATGATTTGACGTTATCTAAATGTAGATAAAGATAGCTAAATAAGGATAGCCTTCATTATACTTACCACACCTAGTACACTTGTCATCACACTATTACATTGTACTTTTTAAGTGTTGTTAATTTGCGTAATCTGTTCCACTGTTATCACTGACTCATAAACTGACTTAATTGGCTCAATAGTTTTACATGTGCATACAAATATTATTGTATATTAAAGTATAATGATAGTCAGATAAAAAATAGTCCATGAAATATTTGTAAATAAAACTAGAATGAAAACTCAAACTAAAAACAAACGCTTATTAAAATTTTATGACTTCAAAATTTAGGAATTTTTCCAGATGCTGACCTCGCAATGTCTACTCTTTTCATCATTTCAGCGAAATACACAATGCGCACCTGTAGCCGTATCCGATGGCAGTAAGCTAATAGATAATTAATATTATGCAATAGTGAAACTTCTGCGGTATGCTGTTTCTACTGGAGATTCCGATAAAGTTTATAAACTATTGAGATGTTCACATATATCACCGATTGACCATGGTACTGACATGCCTGTTATCTGTAAGGCAGCTGGGAAAGGTATGTGCTATTTAGTTCATTATACTTTCCAGTCGTGATAAAAAGTAATTAGGAATAATTTATTCTCTCGTGGTAATGATGAATCGTGTAAATTAGCAGGATTCTGTTCTATTCTGCTTATACTTCAATGTATTCTATCAGGTCCTTATTTTTTTTTCAAGAATGATATGTTGATATACTGACCAGGAATATGCTGGTTGTTTGGTACTGTGCGATTCTCAAAAGTTAATTGCCGGTTGATATTGTACACCAGTTGTATTTAATAGTATTTACTCATCGACTTTCAATCAAATTATTACTATTATTATTATTTTAACACATAAGTATAGGTACAGGGAGGCACCAAGTACATATGCGCCACACGAATCTCAAATGATTTGTGTGAGGGCTGTGATACTGCCCGGGTGCCCAAACAGATACAGGTGGTTTTCTTAGGGGACCACACCCCGAGCCTTCGACCTGAACGTCTGACCCACAAGGAAGTGGAGCATCGTGAGGAGATGCAGTCCCATGGTAGCCGGTGACCAACGATTGGTTCATACGCCATTTGTTCCTTCAGGATACTGGAGCCCATGTGCACCATTGATTTGGGATCCGGTTATAGCGCCGGACATTCGCTTTTCGTCCTCTCATTTTCGTAAACAACACCCCCGCCACGAGAAGGCAGTGAGTAGGACTTCCCTGGCAGATGCTATATACACATGGCCATGTGAGAGCATTTCGAGAGGGAGAGCGGACTCTCCCCACTCTCGGCCGTACCAGGACAAATAACTGGTTTTCAATAGTTCTGTATAGTTCAAGGAAGTTTGATTGTTTTCCAATAGTTCATGACCTAAGTATTTTGATGGCGCTTTAAGTAAGGTATTATCTTGTATCTACTTACTGTCTAAAACCTTTATGTTTCTTAGGTTATACGGATATTGTTGGTCTCCTTATCAGACATGGTGCATCAGCAAATGCAAGGTCAACTGATGGTTCTACACCCTTAATATATGCTGCTGATGGTGTAAGACAATTTCTTTCCTTATTATCCTCTTTCCCTGACGCTCAATATCCGTATTATAGCATTTTATATTGAAATGGTAGAGATTTTCAGTTCAGGTGGATAAATTTGGTTGTCTTCTCTGGGGTTAGTGGTTTGATTACGTACTTCATATGAAGTAAGCGTTGATGGCGTTATCCAGAACAATGAAAGCTCATCTAAACCACTCAACTTAGAGAACATAACACAGTGGAACACATTTTTTGTTTGAGAATCCAGTAAAAAGCGTAGTTAACACCAAACTTAAGAAAATAGTCACATAACATCCAATCTTGCCAGTTTATAAATCAACTTGTGCATCTCTATTCATGTTAAGGGCATAATTCCTTTGGATAGTTGATTTCCAGCTTGTTCTTAAATGATTTGATGTCAAGATTCCATAAAATCTATTGAGGTTGTGACCTCAGTTTTGCCTCAAGTTAAGATGTTTTACTTTCAGCAGGTTTATCGAGTCAGGTATTTTTAACTTACAATAATTGTTCCAGAGACTGCTAGATACCTTTGCAAATGGGTCTCAGATTGTTCCTATACACCTAACTACAAAAAGTGAAGAAAGATCCTATTCATTAACGAGCTTTTTACAACCACGTTTCTATAACATCTGCCAAGGAATCTCACTGCCCACATGTAACGAATTACCTGACCTAACTAATAATGCGAAAATGAGCGTCCGTTGATTTGATCAGTTCAATTGAAAGTTTATACAGGGCCATTTGAAACCGTTATTCTGAACCATCAATGTAGACAGGCTTCACTGTTTCGTCGTGTAGATTTATAAATTAAAAAGTTGAGTGTTAATTCTTTTTAAAATTACTTGCATTGCTTTTAACACTTAGTATCACAGTCATCACACATATTATGACCTCAAGAAATTCAAAAAAATTTCAAGGCGGGAGACAGCCAACGAAACTGTCTGGTTCTTAGTCTGTGTAAAGTTGCTTACACTCAGTGGCTACACAATATATGTAAAGTTGAGGTCGGGGAACTTCTGTTTAGATTTACTGGAGAACATTCAGTCCGTGAAGTAACCATAGAATACGAACTTTAGTTACTTAGATGCTTTGATTCTTAAGGTTTTTGAATTCTTACTGCATTGGTAAAAATATTAAGTGAGAGAAATCGTGAAGATTATTTGTTTCATAAGTGAGGTGGGACAAAGCGATTAGTTAAGTGGTTTAGATGTTATAAGTTTGCCTGCCATTAGTTTATGTACATATGTTGTTGACTGGTAACGAGTTCATCATATGTAGTTAGCGAATTACCACAAAGTTTAAACGTAAATTTAGGGATTAAGTACCAATGACAGAAAGCATTAATGGGTGTCGTTCTACTCATTGTTGTAATTATTTATATACTAGACATATTCTAATAAAGGTGTTGTCATCTAGTAGTTTTGAAATGATGGATTTTGTCTCTTCAATGTTCATGTTTTATATTGCTGGATCATATGAATTCGAACCAAACAAAAAATATAGAGAATTAGTATTTTTAATGATTAGTAGATTTCTATAAAACAACTGAAGATGATTCACGCTTTTGATGATTTATACAGAAGACCTCAATCAACAAGCATACGTGAGTAAGTGACAAATCCAGCGTTTGGCCTTCTGAAGTGATTAGTCATTGGAATGATCTCCTACACTCATTGCATCAAGCTTTAACTGAAGTGTATGATGTGTTTGCCATATTTTATGGTGTAGCTTTGTAGGATGTGCAATATTACAATCGTTGTTCTCATCTCTAGCTTGAGAGGCAATTGAAATGTGCATTCTCACATGAGATAGTTTTTAATAGGATCTAGTACATGGATTATGAAGTGTATATATCACTATTTCTTACACATTAGCATATTATCAGAAAGGGACTCTCCCCTTTATGATTGTTTTTACTTTTTCGACTCTTGCCACGAGACATGTAACAGTACACTATTTTATCAAATACCAGACTGATTAGTTAGTGAGGAAGTAACCTTGGTAAACCGTCTTTTACAAAATCGGTTTTATTGCGTTAGTTCACAGATTCGGATTCGGTTCCGTCTACTTAGGTTTGTGCAGCTGGTTAGTATAACTAGTTCGGCTAAACAAGAAAGCATAACGTAGAGCCGAGAATGTACGCCGGTAATTGGTAGATGAGCTACCGTTTGAGTTGTACATTGGGTTAATTGTTCTAATCTACAAGAGATGTGGAATTTTTGATTAAAATCACATATTTCCTCTTTTCGAGTCACTTGAACTGATCGCGTGTTGCGTAATTTACACATTTTGAAAAGATAAGTATTAAGTTTAAATCAGCTCTTCATTGTGGCCCTAACCTAGTATTTCTGCCTTACTATCGAGTTCGTCGTTAATATAATCCAATATTACCTGATTATCAAGTACAACTCAAAAGCGTTGTCAACATTTGTGCGACACTGAAATTTACAGGATTTCCAAGGTGTAAGAAGAACAAGTTCTGCGTGTCATGCATCCGCTTGTTCACAGTAAAATGTGTTATTCTAACTTGGAAACTTTATTCTTTTACTCAAATACGTATTTTTTTAAATATATAAAACTAATTTTTTCTCCGAACTTCAATTATTCAGGGTCATCTCACTGTTTTATCACTGCTGTTAGATGCAGGAGCGTTGGTCAACACTATTAATTGCCATGGTGAATGTGCTCTTACCCGTGTAAGTTTTTATGGGTTAACCATCTGCTTATTTTCATTCTTAGATCATATTTTTGAAATATGCATTATTCGAACCATCTTTCCATCGCTTTTTAGGCTACTCGTCGTGGATGGGTTCACTGTGCACGATTTCTCTTAAGCCATGGAGCTAATCCGAATCCGATGCCATCTGATGGGCATACTTTTGTGGTATCACCACTACATTTAGCTCGCCAAATGCATCAAACAGTTATAGAACAAGATATTTTAAAAAGAACAGTTGAGTAAGTATCTAACTTTAGATTGGTATTTGTTTTCTGATATTACAGTGGTTCCCAATATTAAGATGACTAAAGTTTGGAATGATTTTTGTAGGTAGTTACAAGTTCTTTGTATCAATACAAATATGCATGTAAGAACTTATCTTACTTGTGAAGCATGCATATACTGTTTAAAATTGAATCAAAAGCAATTGTCTCGAAGTAAGTAAAATGACTAGTCTAATATGCATCGACAGAAAGAGTGACGAAATTCCGGGTTTTAGCCGTCCTTGTAGAGGATATTATTTATGCTGCAAATCCATCTAGATTAATCATATCTGATTGTGGCTAACACCCTGGTTTTAAACCCTCCCATAATTATTTTAAGGTCTTACGTATTTTTATGCATTGCAAACCATAGTTTTCGTCAGGAGCATTTCATATTTTAAGTATTCACGTTAACTAGTAAGTGACGATTTTAACTGTATTAAGTATTTACCCTTATTAATATGAAACTACTTTGTTTAGGATTGATAAAGCCGTTGCTGAAATAGTGGCAACGACTCTACCAAATCATCTGACTTTGATAGAACCAGGACATTTACCAGAGACAATGTCTTTGAGTCTGTTTCCTGTTCAAATCTTCTCTTCAGAAGAGCTTAGTCGCTTTGTTTTGTACTTTAAAACACCTCCTGGGTATGGCTCACGCAGTTTACAAGTGGGGAATAAAGAATCTTCCAGTGGATCGACACCGTCTGACGAGCTGATATTTGTGTATGTGATTCGAGCGCAGTTATCAGTACGTTTTTGTGTAATATCATTAAATTTTTTACTTTTGCATTCAGAGTAAGTAATATGCGATTATTTTATTACAAAGGTGTTTTCTACAACCAATTATGGATGCGTGTAACGCCTCTGTTGTCTACTACTAACTAATATAGTAGTTTTTTAAATACAAATAGCTGTTTTTATACCCTTGAACTATTAAGTTCGCAGATAACTTTATTAGAATTAGTAGCGACAGTACAATACTTAGATTTTCTCGTTCTTACACAACCAAACCTATAATTAAGTCAGATTATGGTGATGTGTGACTTGATTATACATTGCCCCCAAATGCCCTGGTACGGCTGAGAGTAGGAAGAGTCCGCTCTCCCTCTCGAAATGCTCTCACATGGCCATGCGTATATAGCATCTGCCAGGGAAGTCCTGCTCACTGCCTTCTCGTGGCGGGGGTGTTGTTTACGAAAATGAGAGGACGAAAAGCGAATGTCTGGCGCTATAACCGGATCCCAAATCAATGGTGCACATGGGCTCCAGTATCCTGAAGGAACAAATGGCGTATGAACCAATCGTTGGTCACCGGCTGCCATGGGACTGCATCTCCTCACGATGCTCCACTTCCTTGTGAGTCAGACGTTCAGGTCGAAGGCTCGGGGTGTGGTCCCCTAAGAAAACCACCTGTATCTGTTTTGGCACCCGGGCAGTATCACAAATAGCTGTTTTTATACCCTTGAACTATTAAGTTCGCAGATAACTTTATTAGAATTAGTAGCGACAGTACAATAGTTAGATTTTCTCGTTCGTGATGTTAACATTGTCTACACACAACAGCCCAAAATAATACACCAAAATGGACAAACAGTAAAAAAGTCAAAATGAAGCAACTACTTATTGCTGCAGCACCAATAATTTTGTTTAAAACTCTACTTAACATTAGTACGTACCATGTCTGTCATTATCTAAGCCACTGTATGTAACTTTTGTCTCTATGGGACTTTTTTCATAGCACTGATTCCTTTTTGCTTATTTTTCTATCCTACATTGTTATCCTTTATTAAACTGCATAACTGATATAGACGTCGAAAATTATCAAACAACCTACCTGTCAAGTTATTACTATAGTCATTATCTAAGCACAAATATGCAACACAATAAGAAAATAAGATTGTGAGGAGATAAAGGTAAGTATAGTATAAACATACAATAAGTGAATAAAAACTAGTGAATGAAAGTGAAAAGTAGTGGAAGAAGCAGTTCAGTTATTAATAATACAACCACAAGGAACTTTCTAAGTTAAAGAAGTTCCTCCCATTTTTTTGAAGAGTTATACCAAGATCGCTACTTGCTTCCATTCTGACCTATGTCTGATAACGTCTCAAGCCACTCTGCTGCATTATCTCTTGAAGCCCAACCAGGGAGTCATGAAGGACAAACAGCAGCCAGCCCTATACAGCTTTTTTCCGCACCACGACATGATGTCATGAACTGACCACCTCTCCAAATTTTCCCAGTTAGATCCAGCGTTCGCAAATAATCCACGATGTGGAGCCATTTGAGGCAACAATCGTAGTACAGACTAACTTTGCGAACGCGCCAAAGATGGCCCAGAATCATATAAGAGGCTCTGGATTTTACTATCCGTGAGCTGATTTTGAAATTTGCGCCACGAACAGCGAACTTCCGCATCGTTAGGTAGATCAGTTGTCATCGACCATGGAGGACACAGAACAGTCTGACCGATATCGCCGGAGCAACAAACCAGTTGAACTGTTCCTTGAAAAACTCCACCCATCATCCAAACCATCAGATGTTATTAATTGACATCCCACCAGCTTCTCTCACACCAGGATTCCCCCTTCCAGTGACTCGGATGAGTTGAAAGAGCTTCCGGCGGTCACCAGATACAGCTGCTGCTTCCAACTCATTGGCACACTCCGACCATCAGGATTATCGGTCCTTTTCCCAATTTCATTACGTAACAGTCTTCGTGTACGGTCAAACTCACGGTTAACCGGAGTAGACAGACGGGCTTCAATGAGTTGTAAGTAGCCTGTAGAAACCCAGTGCTTGAAAGCGGGACATTTCACGAAGCCGCAAGCGACTTTACTCGCCGTTTTGATGACGTCGTGAAGTTGCAACCAATGCTCATCTATATTTTTTCAGTGGGTTGATAGCTAGCCTTGAACCTAGATCGGTTTGATATTTACTTACAACAAAAGCTGCAACCAATTTGCTGACATCGATCGGTTTAGGATGATGAATTTACTGGCCATTGAAGCGTAAGGTAAGATTAGCGCAAACAAGAGCATGGGCAGCGTCTAGACAAGTACTTTAGAAGGAACGGCAGTTTTGTACACAACGACGTTAGTAGTAGCTGATCGCAATGTAATCAGACTTGAAATGGAGAGGGAGGGCGCCAGGCAGCATATCGGCGATGGCTGTGCCGGTAGTTAGTGCTAACCAGAAACAGATAGTCTGCTCACAGTTGTAGTAGACGGTCATAGTCATGACCTAACTAACAAGTTTCCATCGGCCACCTAAACGACTCTTCTGTACCTAGACGCTCGACCTGAGCATTCAAGTCCTTGTCTAGTACCACAGTATCCGTCGATTGTGCTTTCTGTAGGATAGTTAATTGGTGGTAAAGCTCATACTTCATCGCATCCGAGCTGCAATCTGTCGGAGTGTAGGCGGAGGTGACGAAATTATATTGTTCCTCATCACTTTGTTGGAACTTTTCACTCTAACAGCACATAACCGACTATTAATAGCGGTCCGATCGGTCAGTGCTACCTCAGCTCTAGCGCTTAGTAAAATACCAACGCCAACAAAACCAGACAAAGATGCCACAGGGTACCCGGATAAATGCACGTGAAACAAGCTTTTCGAAGCGACAGATGGAGAGCGAGTTTGTAGTTCTTTACTAGTCTTGAATAGACAACAGACATTGATAATGACTTTCTAAAGACATAGCCAACCTTATCTGTTGTCCGCTCAGTGTACAAACGTAAAAGGCTACCTGTTCGAATGGTATACGTGGTTTCAGAAACTGTTTCGGTATTTGTGTTCGGTGGTAGCATTCGACTTTTGACCAGTCAGTGACTTGAGATCGTTTATATAAGACAGGGTTTCCACCATAGGTAAACTGCTGTGTAAATTGAAAAAATGCACAAAATGGGAACATACGAGTGACACAATGCAAATTAGTTTGCGAGTGTCTTTTTCTTATGAGAGTATTTCTAGTGTGAAGGTAAACTCTCCCCACCTCGACCGTATCAGGGAATTTAGGGTTCTATATATAGTAGTTTTTAATTACTATTAGTCCGCATTCAACTTACATACGCTGATCTGTTTAAAATAGCCGTATTCAACTATGTGATTAGTATCGAAATGTTCCAATTAGATTACATCTATGCATGGTTTACTTTTGACGTTTTTATCAATAGGACAATCATGTCTCTTGCTGGCTCACTGGACCTCCCATGGAATCACTATCATTGAGCTTTAATGGAACAAAAAAACATTGTACTGTGATACCCTTGTCATCTGAGTATTCTGGTATTTGCGTATATTCAGTATCTACAGTAATTAGGAGTGGTGGACTCAATACTGTCTGCCTAGAGCAACGTCCGCAAGACCAATCTATTGGTGAAACAGTCCAGGTATGTTTTTTTAGACATGTCGATATTTACTATGTTTCTATTGTAGTATAATGCGTCCTATTCCACGGCAATTTGTAGCAAATGTGTGGTTGAGCCGATTTTAAGCGTGAAGTAATCAACGAGCAAAAAACTGGCTGTCTAGATGAATATACCTCTTCATTTGGCAACGTATCCACCATTAAGCTGAAGTCAATGAATCCACAACTTAAAAACATCGAAGCATAAATAATGAAACATGATTGCGCTTAGTAGTGGATCATCACTTCTTGGAGTTATTTTCACATCTGATGACTTGTAGCTTCAAGCATACAAATGGTAGAAACAGTGTTCATCAAACATATTATTGCCTCACTTGATACCCAAGTACTTATAATTTGTGTGTGGTGCTTGGATTAAGATTCAAAGGAACGAAATATCTGCATACTGAACTGACTATAGTACGGATTCTTTAGGCGAATATAATCTTTTTACTTTCTAAACAAACTAGAATTATGACAAAGCATATTGTACAAGATAAACTGTGATGTATATTAAATAGGATCTATATTCATTGGTTTGCTTGATTTCTTTCAGAGTGCATCATATGATTCAGTTGTTCTTGTTGGAGCTTATCGTATTCGTCTGGATGTAACCTCTTTGATAATGGCCTCAGTGAACCCAGTTTCTTCAACAGGAACCACTAAAGCAAGCGTGTACATTCCCAGATCAGCCATATGATATTATTAACTATGAAAAATATGGATGTCTTTAACCACTGTCTTCTGTTCCGTTCTGTTAAACAGATTATAAAGTTTTTAAAATGTACTTGATAGAAAATATCACAAAATAGTAACGACAGTTATTGTACACAAATTATTTTTTACAAAATTTTCATATTTACATGAACGATATTCATATTGAATTCAGAAAGAAGATACTGTACTAAACAGACTGATAATCATACAAATTTTACAAACAAGTTAGGTGGTTATAATTTCTAGATCATGAGATCATTATTTGTGATGTGATGCAGTAGGTTCTCGAGAAGAAGAGGCTTGTTGTTGTGGATTTGTCTTGTTCTGACGTTGTCGAACACACATAACCAGCTGCTCAGCTGTTACAGGATACATGATACTTTCAATAATGGCTAGCATGCAATATAAAACATGATTACTGTTTACTAGCATTCTTAAATAGCCACATGCAGTTATAAAAAAATTAACACTTTTTTATTGTGTAGCTATTATTATTTATTTTATTTTATTTGAACACATAAATATTGGTACAAGGGGCACCAAATATATATGCACCACACAAAAAAATGAGGAATTTAAAGAGAAGGGAAAAAAACAATAACGACCAGATTAGTGTAATGGTAGTAATAATGGGGGAAACGAAAAGGTACAATCAAGAGAAATCTTTCAGTTAAGGAAGAAGCAACCACTCTTTACGAAGAAAGTAAAAGGTTACAGCAGGATCGCCACTGGCTTCTATTCTGAGCCATATCTGATAACGCTTCTAGCCACTGTGTTGTATCATCTCGAGGACCCCAGCCAGGGAGTCGTGAAGGACCAACACAAGCCATCCGTTTGCAGCTTTCTTTCATACCACGACACCATGTCATATACTGACCACCTCTTTGCTTTTTCCAACCTGTCCCGGAGTCGGCAAATAATGCATGACTACAATGAAGACGCTAAAGATCAATTCTACGATATGCTGCAACCAATCGTCGAGAAGTGCCCAACAAAGGACCTGGTCATCCTGAAGGGAGATTTAAATGCCAAGATTGGAATGGACAACACCGGATATGAAGACATCAGGGGACGACAAGGACTAGGAGAAAGGGACGAAAATGGTGAGAGATTTGCAAACCTGTGTGCCTTCAATAAACTGGTCATAGGCGGCACTATATTCCCACATAGATGCATTCACAAAACCACATGGACTTCACCGGATCACACTACGCAACAAAAAGTCCAGGAGGACGATGAAGGATAAGAGAACCAAGAGAGGAGCTGATATAGCATCAGATCATCACTTGCTGGTCGTCAAGATGAAGCTGAAACTCAAGAAGCACTGGACAACGGGGCAGACACTATCACAAGAGTTTAATACGGCTCTTCTTCGGGATAATGACAAACTCAATAAATTCAAGATAACCCTCAGCAATAAGTTCCAAGCCTTTCATGATCTACTCAATGGAGAAGAAACTACTATGGAGAGCTACTGGAAATGGATAAAAGGGGCAATCACTTCAACACGTCATGAGGTTCTGGGCACACGAAGCACCACCACAAGGAATGGATCACTGTTGATACACTGGATAAGATTCAAGAAAGGAGGAACAAGAAGGCAGCAATAAATACCAGCCGAACAAGTTCAGAAAAAGCCAACGCACAAGCTGAGTACACAGAAATAAACAAGCAAGTGAAGAGGAGCATCAGAAGTAACAAACGTAAATATGTGGAAGATTTAGCAATGACGGCGGAAAAGGCTTCAAGAAAAGAAACTCTCTGGAAATCATCGTAAACCAGAACAACCAGTGAAAAGCAGGGAAGGCAAAGTAGTCACCAACATTGAAGAACAACGAAACAGGTGGGTGGAACGCTTCGAAGGACTGCTGAATCGATCAGCCCCACTGAACCCACCCAACATCGAAGCAGCACCCATGGTCCTACTAATCGATGTTGGCCCACCAAAAAATGAAGAAATCAGCATGGCCATCAGACAAATCAAGAGTGGCAAAGCAGTAGGACCAGACAGCATTCCAGAAGAGGCATTGAAAGCAGACGTGGCGGTAACTGCAAGGATACTGCACATTCTTTTCAGCAAGATTTGGGATGAGGAACAGGTACCAAAAGACTGGAAAAGACTTCTAGTCAAAATACCAAAGAAAGGCGATCTCAGCAACTGTGATAACTACAGGGGAATCACTCTTCTCTCAATACCACGAAAAGTCTCCAACAGGGTATTGTTAAACAGGATGAAGGACTCCGTACACGCCCAACTTCGCGACCAACAGGCAGGATTCCGTAAGGACAGATAGTGTACAGACCGAATCGCAACTCTACGGATCGTTGTGGAACAATCAATTGAATGGAATTCATCACTCTACATCAACTTCATTGACTACGAAAAGGCATTTGATATCGTGGACAGGACAACACTATGGAAGCTTCTTCGACACTACGGCGTGCCTCAGAAGATAGTCAATATCATACGGAATTCCTATGATGGATTAAACTGCAAAATCGTTCATGGAGGACAGTTGACAAAGTCGTTCGAAGTAAAGACCGGTGTTAAGCAAGGTTGCTTACTCTCACCCTTTCTCTTTCACCTGGTGATCGACTGGATCATGAAGACGTCAACATCTGGGGGGAAGTATGGGATGCAGTGGACAGCTAGTGTAGCTGCAGTAGGTCAAAATATAAACAAAGGGAAAAGCAAGACTCTCCAATACAACACAACATGCACCAATCCAATAACAATTGACGGAGGAGATTTGGAAAATGTAAAAACCTTCACATATCTTGGCAGCATCATTAATGCGCACGGCGGATCTGATGCAGATGTGAAGGCGCGGATCGGAAAAGCAAGAGCAGCATATTTACAGCTGAAGAACATCTGGAACAATTGGCAACCAACACCAAGGTCAGAATTCTCAATACAAATGTGAAGACAGTTCTACTGTATGGGGCAGAAACCTGGAGAACTACAAAAGCCATCATCCAGAAGATACGGGTGTTTATTAACAGTTGTCTACGCAAAATACTTCGGATCCGTTGGCCAGACACTATTAGCAACAGCCTACTGTGGGAGAGAATAAACCAGATCCCAGCGGAGGAAGAAGCGCTGGAAGTGGATAGGACACGCATTGAGGAATACACCCAGCTGCGTCACAAGACAAGCCCTCACATGGAATCCTCAAGGTCGAAGGAGAAGAGGAAGACCATAGAACAAATTACGCCGGGAAATAGGGATAGAGATGGGAAAAAGAACTAGAAAAGAAGGCCCAGGACAGAGTGGGATGGAGAGTGCTGGTCAGCAGCCTATACTCTATTAGAAGTGACAGACATAAGTAAGTCTTACCGTCCGGACTACGTATAATTTAATTGTGGAGAGCCCGTAAAACTTAGTACTACCTAGGTACAGTCGTTTGCGTAGATGTTGGTTCATCTGTCACTTCGTGTAAAAGAAAGTTACGATTTCTCAGAAACTAACAATTACTACTATAGTTGTCACTTAGCTGTGAGTACGGTTAATAATTCAAGTACGTATTTGTCTCTGTTTTTCTCAAGTATTTTTTCATAACCGTTGAAGTGATTGTGTTGATCATTTTTCCTATCTCGAAAGTCCCGGTGGGTGACAAAATCACTATGGTTAAAGCCACTTGATTTTTGACAAATTGAGAAACCTGTAATTATAATAGTTGAATTCACAAGTCGATCTAAGCTAGACCAATATTGAAAACTTGAAAGCACAGGACGACCGTTTCGTCTTAGTATGAGTAGGATGTTCTCGCCTATCAAACAGCAAGTAAACTGTGCATCAAGCGAGTCTGTATTGATAAAAATCTATAAAAAATGGTGTTTGGAAGTAAATTCTGAAGCAATGGTTTACTGAGTGAAGTACTCGGCTTTCGACTAGCTCTGTACCACCTACTTCAGTTTAGGAGGCTGGGTGACATTGCAGTGAACGAGAACACCAGTGGAGACAACCGAATGTATATGAATACAGAATTACTGAATCTCTTAAAAAAACTTGAGAACCATACAGTAAATACTTCATTTTCAAAATACCAATCAGTCGTCTCAGAAGTGATTGTTCCTTCGTTTCCCCACTAATCATTCTCTGTTCTCATTCTTTTTTCTTCGATCTTCTTAACCTGTCACAACACATTTCAATTCCGATTGATGATACATATTATTTATATCTGTTGACATCAGTAGCACACAACACATCACCAGCGTTCACGTAGAGTGGCTCAAATAGGTTACAAGTGGAATGAATGCGTAAGTTGCAAGTATTTGACCATAAGTGTCTTCAAAGCGCTGTTTACGTATCGTGGAATCAACTACCAAGTAATGATATAGGTAGCCGTTTGATCTAACGTATGAATGACAAGTCGATCGATAAGGCTCTAGACCTTTAGTGGCTAAAGCGACTAGAATGTGTTATACATACTCTTCACTTCTTTATTGCATTGTTTTCTCTTAAGCTAAACCTTTACAGTTTTGATTAATCTAAAATACCTTGTTTTTATTTTAAATCATCTTGATATACAACCTATTTTACCATTGAGTGTATATTTTATTTGATTTCAAACGTCCATAAAATAACAAAAACTCAATAATAAAAACTTACCGACTCCTGATTTGTGATAGTTCGGCTCTGTCTTGTCAGTGCGCACACGTAGAACTTTCCAACCGACACCAGGAACGCATACACATTCTACGATTTTTCCGTCTAAAACTTTATCACGTGAACTAACATGTGCGAGCTTGGCAGATGGCACCGTTAGACCACCGAGAAAGAGATGTCCGATGTAACCAGGAATTTCACTAAAGTAGTAAAAAGATGAGTGCAGTTCTCAGTGTACTATTTGATAACGTTAAGTGTTAGTCGCCAAACCTTTGTTCGCTATCATACCTAAAATAATGAGGTTATTATTAAATATTTTTCTAACTCTTACACAACCAAACCTATAATTAAGTCAGATTATGGTGATGTGTGACTTGATTATACATTGCCCCCAAATGCCCTGGTACGGCTGAGAGTGGGGAGAGTCCGCTCTCCCTCTCGAAATGCTCTCACATGGCCATGCGTATATAGCATCTGCCAGGGAAGTCCTGCTCACTGCCTTCTCGTGGCGGGGGTGTTGTTTACGAAAATGAGAGGACGAAAAGCGAATGTCTGGCGCTATAACCGGACCCCAAATCAATGGTGCACATGGGCTCCAGTATCCTGCGGGAACAAATGGCGTATGAACCAATCGTTGGTCACCGGCTACCATGGGACTGCATCTCCTCACGATGCTCCACTTCCTTGTGGGTCAGACGTTCAGGTCGAAGGTTCGGGGTGTGGCCCCCTAAGAAAACCACCTGCTTCGGTTTGTGCACCCGGGCAGTATCACAGCCCTCACACAAATCAATTGAGATTTGTGTGGCGCGTGTGTATTTGGTGCCTCCCTGTACCTATACTTATGTGTTAAAATAAAATAAAGAAAAATGATTATACATTAAAACGAAATCATAGAATTTCGATTTATCATAAATAAGTTCTGAA